GGTAAGTAAGTAAGTAAGAGAGAGAGAGAGAGAGAGAGAGAGAGAGAGAGAGGAATTGTAAAATTTGGGGAGAAGGAGGAATTGATAAAAATAAGGAGGAGGAAGTGCAATTACCTCGGACGGACAGCTGAACAGCATACATCATTTTGGGCTCGGTGTTCACCTGGCATTCGTATTTGCCCGAGTCCGTCTTCCTCGCGTTGTCCAGCCTGAGCGTCCACGCGTCGCTACCCGGTGTGTGCAGAGGGCCGAATCTCGCGTCCGAGCTGAACAGGGTATTTCCTGACGTGAGAATGTGGAGGTCCTTGCTTCTCATCCAGGACACCTGAAACAAGGCCAGCCCAGCACGTTGAAATTACATCCTGATGGAATTACCGTCGCGTTAAACGACGGAATTGCCTCGAGGATGATTCTTAATTACTTTGCGCGAGGAACGTTTAAAAGGATTTATAAAATGATTTAAAATCAACTTCGTGCTGGTTCCGAAAATTATTATAAATTCACTTCTCTCTCTCTCTCTCTCTCTCGGCTTTTTCTTTTGTCGAATAATATTCATATGAAAAAATGCTTTTTCAATTCTTTTCGTTCGTTTTCGTTTCGAAGCACGACCGAATTTATCGAGTCTAATGACGAGAATTTGTCGACGGGACGACGCCGTCATTTGGGGTAGTTCGACGGATAAGCGAGTACGAGTACGCGGTCTAAACCCTTTTGAAACAGTGGCTCAGAGGAATGCACACTCGCGCTCCGTAAATCACCGCTCTCTTACGACTTATTTCCTTCCCGCCTAGCCACTTTACACCCGTGTTACGAGCGACGTAATACATAACATAGTAACGTGTTACGACGTCGTTACCTTATGGCCGAGATAAAGGATAGAGACTGTTAAAAGAAAGTTCGGGGACGAAAGTGAAGGGCGAGAGAGTGAAAGGGGCGAGGTATAAGGAGGAAAATTTAACGGAGCGACGCGTGGAAATTTCTTCGTTTTGAAGGGGGAAAAGAAGGAGAAGAAACGAGAGAAGGAAAGAAAATTGGAATATCCTCGTACAAATTGTATCCTTGTCAAAGAGGATTGCCCCGATTATGACGTTTATAATTTTATTAACTCGTCCTGTTTTTAACTATTTTTATCGTAGCGACAATAACTCGGAAGATAATTCAAACGCCAGTCCAACTTAATATACGATACGATTACTCTTTTCTTGCCGGTGGGAATAAAATGGCGATTTTCTTGCCGGTGGAAAAGTACCATTAATAAAACGCAGCGATGAACCGCCGGTCCGGCGGTTCTCTGCTCCACGGCCACCTTTGACATATCTTATTGCTCCGGGCTAAATAATTAATCCTCAACCCCTTTTCGTTTCCACTCCACAGTTCTGGTTGGGGAGGAAGAGGGCGAGTAATGGGAGTTTACTGATTACTCGGTTCACGAGTTTCTCGACTCGCGAACTATTTCCTACGTTTCCCACGGTTGCCCATCAATTCTTATGAGTTTTCTTTCACCTGCATCGAATGCGTCCTTCCCACAGGATCAACAATTTCGTCCTTTATCACGTTTCGTTCCTCGTTTCCTTTGACAAAATTGAACGACTGGACGGTAGTTTGATTTAATCGTCGAATCGTTAAAAAGAAGAAGAAGAAGAAAAAAAAGAACTAGACTAATTGACAAACAACGACCGCTTGATACAACAACGCATCCCATTGAAGCGAGACGACGACGTTTCGAAAAAAAATAGAAGGAAGGTAGAAGAGTAGAGCTCTATGTAATTCCTTCTGATTATCCATTCTCTTTCAAACCCTGTCTCGTTCGTCTTGTTATGAGCAAAAGTTTGCGCTACCCTCTCGGTCGAGTGGCGGGCATAACACCGAGGATGCTCGAGAAAGGGATGCGCCGCGCTTTTCCCCGTTGCGATTAATATTTTCTCGCGATCTTGAAGAGGCAGTGGAAACCGTCCGAGAGAGCGAACCGACGGGGCGTCAACGACGACTTTGATATCGTCGAATATGGTCACTGAACACCGGCCTTATCCGATCCTCGTATTTTTCAACGTTCGACCGCCAGCAAACGGGTGGGATATTAGATATCCGGTTATCGGGTTGCAGTCATTTCCGATCTGCATCCAGTTACTACCATTTTGCCTATCGGTCGTTACACGAGAGAGACAGAGGATAGAGAGGGGGGGGGGGGGAAGCAAGGACAGGACGAACGATCGAATCGAACGATTCGTTGGAGGACAAAAAAGGGGGACGGCCGAGAAGAAGAATGAAATCGAAATGGCGGAAAAGAATCTAAATTGCGATCGATTCCGTGCCCCCGTCCCCCGATTTTTAATGTCGTAATATCGAGGGAGAGATCGGGAATGAGATCGCTCGACGACGTTTCGAAACCATTCGCGGGGAGGGGAGGGATGCAATAATCCAGCAGCGACAAAAAGAGATACCGGTTCAACCATCCGTAGATTTATCGTTGTTATTAAAACAACCGTGGCGATACCGGCCACGGGAGTAGATATTATTCAGGGTGTGGAACAAAAGAAGCTTGGATTAATCGGTAATTGAATCGATACAAACCACCGTTTCCGATACACACACGTTGCCAATTTTTTTCCCCCTCTCCCCGCACTTTCTCCCCTCGATAATCCTATCCTGGATGATGGAATCGTTTTCGTACAACGAAATACTTCCCCCCCCCCCTCTTCGCCTTTGAAACTCGATTTCAAGAACACGCTCGCACCTCCTCCGTTTTTAATCTCGATCTTCTCGACGGCGTTCCTTCCTCCAATCCCGAAACAATGAAAGAAAAAGAAGGCCAGAAGGAAGGAAGGAATGTTGCTCGGCTCGGCTCGGCTCGAAGAGGAATCGATTCGAGGCGCGGCGCGGAAGGCGTGGAATCTGGAAATCGGGTTTGGACGTAACGAGAAGAAAATTCAGCGCCGTGTGCGGCTGATTTATACAATAATAACGTAAGCTGCACACGGAGGGGGAGAGGAGAGCGTAATGGTCCACGCGGGTTGGGATGCAGTTTAGCGGAGGGGTGGGTTATAACGCGAGGGGAGGAATGTACGGCGTGACAGGGGCCCGGTGTATCACGGCATTTGGTCGTATGCCAGTTTACTCGAGTATACGATTCGCCGTTGCGAGGATGGGAGCAGAAATAGAAGCGCGGCTCGAAGGCGAGCGAGAGGAGTGGAGAAGATGGAGAGGAGGATGTGTTTGCTCGCGCGGGGAGACAAAAGGACGGGAGCAATATACGGGAGCCGACATAACCGCTTTCATCTGCTACGTCGACACCGGAACCGGATAAAAATGCAACTCCTACCAAGTCGTTTCACCGCAACCTTACGAGCCTCGCTGCTCGTTTCTACGCTCCCGCTCCTCTCTTCGAGGAGGAACTACCTTATGGCCGCCATTCACCTAGCAACCCCTGTTTGGCCGGGGATCGGGCGTACGTACAACCACCGACACACCGATTCCCTCCGTTTCTTAAATTAGACCACGTTTCCGCGAGAAGGTCGAGCTCGAGGAAATTTCCTCCCCTTCTCTCCGCGTGAAATGAATCTTTTTGAAACGGATCCGGGGGAAAATTTCTTCTCTTTCGATTCCGAGAAGGAGGGGAGAAGGGGTCGAGAGGGGTTAATGGAGAGGAAGAGAATGGAGGAAGAGATGGAGGAGGGAGAAAGAATAGTTGTCAAAAGTTTGGTCCGACATAATCGAAAGAAGATGAGAAGGGTTTCTTTGGGGACGAATGAAGCCGGAAAGCGCGATAGATTTTGCCTGTACGGGGTATATATTGTAACAGGTGGTGGAGACGCGGAGGGGATGATTCACCCGTTGAATAGAATTCGTTCCGGCGGAAGACTACCACGTTTTGAAGAAAGTTCGGTTTGGAGAGAATGTGTCGTGAATGTGGTTAATAACCGACTTGGTCGAGAGATTGTTGACTTTGAAGTGAAATAATCTTGGGATTCGATCCTGGGCCGGCAAGACGCGAATCCGGAACAAAACGAATTCTGAGGAACAAACGCGGCCGCGATTCCGATTTATTTTCTTCGATTAAATTTTGCTCGGCCGTTGTTTCGCTCTTTTCGAAACGGAAGAGGAGGGGAGAAGAGAAATTGAAAAAGTAACGAGGTGTTGTCGTTGAACGCAATTCATCCATTCGTTCGTTTCATCCCCCGAATCTCTCCGTTGGAAACAGAAGTTTCGCGATGAATAATGCGTAACTTCCTTTACGTCCACTCTCCCCGTTTGAAGTGAGGAGAAACTAAAAGTTGCGGAAGGGGAATGGGGGGGGGGGAGGAAAAAAGTTGATGGGTTTCAACGATGAACCATCGAATCGTACAATCGAATCACTGTTCTTTGGCTAAATTATTTACCCTCTTTCCAGTGGTGGCGAAAAGAATAAGAATTGCGCTCGTATTGCGTGCTTCCTTCCGGACCACGATACCATTACCCACGCTTTTCAATCGAATCCAGTCGATTCCGTCACGGATTTACTCGGTCGGCGAAACTTCTCGATGAATGGAACTTGTCTGATAATTCTTTCCGCCCCCCTCCGAAAACAAGTCCAATGCGATTTTTCACTCGTTAATTGTTCGCGACCGTCGAATAATTTTATGGAATTGCATCAATATTCTTCTTGGATATTTCAACTTACAATTTTTTCATTCTCTCATTCCTCTCATCGAGCAATTTTATATTTCAACTTGAGAATATGGTCACAAACAAAAATCAAAAATAATATGAATCGAAGAATTAGAGTAATGATTAGAATTTTACAAAACACACACACACACACACACACACACACACACACACACACACACACACACACACACACACACATAATATAAGTAGTATTATTATTTC